GTGATGGAACTTCCACTGACGTCTGTCTGCCCCCTCCCCCCACCGTCCTGCTCACAGAGGACCTTCAGGTGGGAGGTGGGGGGGTGGGTCTGCTCTGTGCCCACAGGTCACAGGCTGGTTCAGAAAGTGGCCGCTGGTCCCTTCTGTACGTCCTCAGTTCCTTCCTGCTGAGACGTTGGCTGTTCAGGAGGCCCTCAGCTCCAGGCGGGGCAGCGAGAAGCAGAGACGTTTCTTCAGCCTGAGGGTCCCCATTCCCACCAGCTGAGCAGGGACACTGGGGTCTCCAGGGAAGGGTCAGGCCCTGGGTCAGGTGCAGGGACATTCCCCCTCAATTCTGTGCTGGGCAAATGGTCAGGGGAGTGGGCTCAAAGGTCAAAATCCAGAAAACAGGCCTCAGAGGCCCAGAGAAGCGGGTGTGTGGGAAGGTGAAGATGTGAGACCCGTCGAGGGTGTTGTAGAACGAGACCTCCCCCAGCTCACAGTCCAGGAAAACCCCCACCCTCTCAGGGGGGCTCACATTGGTCAGTGGGGTCTGTGGGTCTGTGAGAGCCAGGTAGTCACCCCCAGGATTCAGCCCCACTGTCCAGAATCCACTCTTGGGAGCCATTTTGATCTCCACCTTTCCTCCTCACGTCCTCCCTGCACACCCCAACACACCACTGTCCCCTGGCCCCCCACCCTCCCACCTCCCAGAAGTGTCTCCCTGACGTGAAGCTCTCACAGCCCAGCACACAGTGATTCCCCTGAAATCTCTCAGGGATTTCTGGCAGGTTCTGCCTTCTGTCTGCCCGCTGCAGGCTCCTCTTGTCCTCAGAAACATGGAGGTCAGGATGCGCCGTGTCTGGATCCAGAAACACATCCGCTGCAGGGGGTCAGAGGGCGTGGGGTCAGCCATGGTGCCGGGACCTCAGAGCCTCAGCCTTCAAGACCAGGCTCTGGGCCGGAGGCCACACTCCAGCGAGTGGGGGTCCCGACCTGCCCTGAAGGGGACCATCAGCAAAACCAAGGAACCACAGTGGTCGGTCGTGCCCTCACTGAGCAGCTCCCTGCCGTCCCCCTAGTCCCTTCCTGCAGGACCTGGGTCAGCCTGAGCCTGGTCAGGTCCCCTCTCCCTCTCCCTGCAGCCCCTCCCTCTAGCCCCGCCCCTCCTGCCTCTTCCTCCCACAGAGACCTGGAACCCCAGGACAACTGCTGTCCCTGCTCCCTGGGCTATGGAGAGCAGGTGGGCACACCTTTGAGACCATGATCTCAGGTCACCACCCTCAGGAAAGAGTTGGAGAGGAAAGAGGGAGCAGGGGCCCTCGGGGGTTGTCCTGGGGACACAGAGGGACCCACTCACCAGGCTGGAAGAGGGCCGTCTTCCAGTCTGGAAGGAAGGAGACACAGACAAGGAAAGGTCATTCTCTCTGTCCCCCCCCCACTGTCCTCACGGAGCCTCTTCTGCCCCCTCTCCTCAGTCCCCTCCAGCGTCCACTCCCCTTGTCTGCAGCTCTGCGGGCCAGGCTGGACCCTCTCCCAGTGCTGGGCTTCCCCCATCACGCTGGGGCTGTGGGGACACGACCAGGCTGTGCCGGGTGTGGGCGTGGGTGTCAGCAGGGTGAGGGGACACTGGGTCTGGAAGGTCCTCTCTGAGTGACCAGACAGGAGGGGGCGGTGCAGACACAGAGAATGAGCCTCTGAGCCAGACGGGACGGCTCCTCCCCCAGCAGGAAAGGCTGCACCTGCCTCCCCCCACAGGAGCCTGGGAAACCAGGGAGCCTCAGGCTCACTCACCTGCATAGGCCTGAGACCGCTCCTCACCTGCAGTGGAGACAGACGGTCACCTGAACTGTCCTTTCTGAGTCGGTTCCTTTCCTCCCTTCTGCACCACCCCCCGGTATCTCCCTGTGTGCCCCCCACCCTCCCCACCTCGCCCTCTGCCTGGTCCCTCCCCGGCTCCCCCTCCTCTTTCCATCAGCTGCAGCTCAGGACCCCCCAGGCGCCCTGCACGGGGCTGTCCCAGGGTCACCGCACAGCTGTCCTGTCCGTGTCTGTGCAGCAGTGACCTCTCATCCCTGCTTTAGCTTCTGAAGTTTCAGTTACCTTCTGACAACCAGGGTTAGGGAGCAGTGAATGAGAATTGCAGAAACAAACAGTTCATGAGTTTTAAATTGCGCATCAGTCTGAGCAGCGTGATGAGGTCCCCTGCTGTCTGCCCCGACCTGCCCCCTCAGGAATCCCCCCGAGTCCAGCACGTCCCCCCTGGGGGTCCCTCCCCCCCTTCGTCACTGAGGAGCATCTCTGTGACAGATGGATGGTCCCAGTATCACAGCGCTGGTGTTCTGTCACCCATATTTTACCTATTAACGTCCCCAAAGTGCCAGAACAGTGATGCTGTGATGCTGCTGTGCCAACAAGAAACCTTCCTTTATGTGAAAAGGAAAAACCCTCGTGTGTTCAGGGTTTGGGACTATCTGTGGTCAGACAGTCCCTGAGGGACCTGCACTGTGACCCTGTCATATAAGTGATGACCAGGTTCTCCAGGACCTGAGTGTGCCTGCGCACACGCTGCCCCATGTGCACACGCGTGTACCTGTGTGCTGGGGTTCATTCCCCTCAATCTGTATTATTTCCTGCCTACTCCGGAAACAATGGGGCACCCTAATGGGAAAATTTCAGATACTATGTTTTCAGCAGTGACGGTAAGTCTGTGACAACTGACGCTGCCACTCCTGTTTTTAAGACACTTTCTCTCCTTCTGCCTTTCTTTTCCGTGGGCTACAGAGTTTGTGAACCAAGCAGGGAAGCAAGGACTCCCACACTGAGTCACCTCCCCCTCCCCCGCCCACTCTCCTTTCTGGGGTTCCCAGGGTGTCCCCTGGGAGCGCCCCCTAGTGGAGGGAGGCAAAGACCGTTCCCCACTGAGACAGACCACTGCCTGGTCCCCCCATCAGCGTCAGCATTTCTTCCCTGGGCGGTTAGGCAGGAGGGAAGGGACTGAACTATCTGGGCAGAGAGGCAGAGATGCGGGTCCAGGTACTCACGTGGTCGGTACAGGACCTTTACCACCCTGCAGGAAACAAGGTGAGGGGTCAGTGACATGTAACACAGGGACCCTAGGACGTGTGGGCTGGGGATCGCCACGTACTGAGTTTGTCCTGCAGCTTCTCTGGAAATAAACAGAAAAAGACAGTCCTTTAAAGGGGATCGAATAGAGGACCCATGTGGTGGGTGCGGGGTGGGGCCGGGAGGTGGTGACCACCTTGCAGCTGGGCCTCACCTTTGGCGCCTCGCTCCCGCTGCTCCTTGGCCTGAGCTGCTGCTTTCTCCCACTGAGCTGCTTCTTTCTCCAACTGAACTGCTTCTTTCTCCCACTGAGCTGCTTCTTTCTCCAACTGAGCTGCTTCTTTCTCCATCTGAGCTGCTTCTTTCTCCAACTGAGCTGCTTCTTTCTCCAACTTAGCTGCTTCTTTCTCCGCCTGAGCTGCTTCTTTCTCCAACTGAGCTGCTTCTTTCTCAGCCTGAGCCTTTTCTTTCTCCAACTGAGCTGCTTCTTTCTCTGCCTGAGCTTTTTCTTTCTCCGCCTGAGCTGCTTCTTTCTCCCACTGAGCTGCTTCTTTCTCCCACTGAGCTCCTTCTTTCTCCGCCTGAGCTGCTTCTTTCTCCAACTGAGCTGCTTCTTTCTCTGCCTGAGCTGCTTCTTTCTCCGCCTGAGCTGCTGCTTTCTCTGCTCGCTCCCTCTCCCTCTCCTTGGACAGGGCTTGGATCTTCTTGTGCTGTCTCCACAAGAGGTACCACAAACCCACCAGGAACACCAGCAGAGCCAGCAGGGTCACTACCAGGGCCACCATCCCGGGATGCACGTTCCGGAAAAAGGGGCCTGCAAAAGATTACCCTCAGCTGATGGCCACCTTGGGTCTCAGAGTATCTGGGGACTGAAAACAATCGTTCTCTCCCCAAAGTGCCCAGAACTTTCACTGGCACATAACACCGTTGTCTTGCAGTAACTGCCTCTCACAAGGGAATATTTTGAATATAAAAGAACGTATACAAAGCCACTAGAATCTCTCCACTGCTCCTCCCTCTGCCACTTATTATCTCCTTCTGAGTCATTTTAATCTGGGGATTAAGAATGTGAACTTTGGGACTGGAGACCTGGGCTCCAATTCTGGGTCTTCCACCTGACTAGCTCTGTGACCTTGAACTAATGACTTAAGCACCTGTTCCTGGTATCCTGACTGGTAAGAGATTAAGTTAATGCTTATCCAGTGCCTGACACATAGTGAGTGTCATACAAGTGTTGGTTAAATCTTAAAAACATTAATCTAATTTTTATTTTATCTTGTTCACACTGTAGACAGCACTCTACACCAGTGGGTCTGCAGTTGTTCTCTCTGCTCCCCTGGGTCTGGGCGACCTTCCCGCCTCAGCACAGGGGGCAGGTCTGTGTCTGCTCTCACGGGGCAGCGCCCCCTGCACACATGGCCCCTTGGGGGCACTTGCACTGTCTCTGACTCTTTGTTAAAATGGTTAATGATACAGGAAATAACCTTTTCCATGGGTCATTTCACACAAACACAGGCTGATCTGCCAGAATCCAGAAGCTGGAGTTTGGACCAATAATTAAGGATGTTGAATAACAAATGCTTCATTACCCCTACAGAAGTTGTGAAAATATATTGAAAAATATACCCAATAATAGCCACAGACATCTGAGAGTGACTGCCTCCCCACAATCCCACCATCAGGGGCCTTGTTTTCTGTTTTGTAGCCGGTCTCACAGTGAGATTCCGTATCCTTTCCAGAGTCATTTCCTTTTCTGAACTGATCATTCCTGTTCTTTGCTTGTTGTTCTACTGGGTTGTTTTTTATTTTAAGGAGATTAGCCCTTTTTCTAAGATTTGCATGGTACATATTTTTCCCCTTTTCTCATGTCTTTGCTGACCTTGACCCTTTGTCCCCAGTTCCCATCCCCTGGCACCATGTGTGGCCGCAGGAAGTGCTCAGAAGGTGTCTGTGACTCAAACAGCTTCATGGGGAAGGAGCAGCAGGTCCCTGCTCTGTCCCTTCTGTTCCCTGCACAGACCCAGCTCAGCAGCAGACAACCACACCTTCCTCAAGGGGACACCACGGAGTCCAGGGCAGGAGGCAGGGCACTCACCTGGGATGGAAAGCCTGGCTGACCTCTCCTGGCCCAGCAGGGGGTTTCTGATGACACAGGAGACCCCCCTCCCCAGAGCCACCTTCCAGGATCACAGAGGCTGAGGCTGCATAAAGGCCCTGGGGGTCTGCAGCCTCTGTGGCCACCTCAGCAGACAAGTTCTGTCCCCTGGCGTCTCTCCAGTGGATCTGGGGCTGCGGGTACCAGCCGGCAGACGTGCACTCCAGACGGATCCCTCCAGCTCCGTAGCCCTTCATTTCAATGTGGGGGTCAGAGCCCAGTGCTGGGGAGGAAAAGTGAGTCTGAATCCTGGGGAGCCCTCTGCACTGGTGGGGGTCTCCACAGCAGGGAGGGGCACACCCACCCTGGAGGAGCCCAGCAGGGATTCACAGGAGCTGTTCCCAGAGTGTGCTGTGCAGGAGAGACTGACCCACAGTGTGACCCCTGCCTGACCACCGCTGGACCCTTGTGCTGGATCCAGGGGGATCTAGGCTGGAACTGACATTGTTTCCCCTAAATCCCTTTAGAGACTGCTGGACCCTCCCCTCCCCCATGACCCAGACATGCTGGTTCCTGGAACAGCCCCTCACCCCACCCTGAACAAATGTGGAGGTGGTTCCCCGTTATGTGAAGCAGGTCCCACCCCAGTGCCCCTATCCTTCCCGCCTGTCCCGTGTTAGCCTCAGCCCTGCCGTGTGTGTGGGGGAAAGATATGCTCTTGTCCTTCTACCACCCAATCTGTACTTTGTGAGTAGGTCCCCTCAGCAGAGTCTTGCTGTAATTAATGCTACTGTTGTCAGTCTCTTTGCCTGGTATCTCAACCCAGGGAAGCTTGCACAATGCAGTCATGTAGAGGAGCAATAACTTCATGGGCAAGAGCTGACCCTGCAGCCAGGAACAGTAGAGCTGTTACTATAATGCTTTACACTTAGAATACCAAGAGGGGGGGTGTGGGGGAAGCCTTTTGAAGACCTGTAAGGACAGAGTCCTGTAGAGAGGGACTTTCTTAAGAAAAGCTGTGGTCCCAAGAAAAGGACAGTGTTTGACTGAGTAGGCCCTACAGAGACAAAGCCAGGGGTCCCCCACTTTCTATCCTCTGCCAGGACCCCCATGTACCTATAAACCACAGGGCAGGGCTGTGTCCTGAGAAGGTGAATTGCAGCCCTGACACCTGGACACGAGCACTTTCACGGGGCAGCACCTCAGACAAGGTCACTCTGTCCCTGGGACAGGTCAGGACAAGGTCAAGACCACTCAGCAGTCGGTCTGAGCACAGAGAAAGCAGGAACAGTGTGCAGACCTCAGCAGTGACCACCCTCCCCTGTCCTGGCTGGGAGTGACCCATGACACCCCTGCACCTTCCTGACAGCATCCAGCCCAGAGCAGAGCCCTGCTTCCACGTCCCCCCAAGTCCCCTGACAGTCCCAGGGGTCACACCAGATCCTCCCTGACACCCCCTCTCTGAGACACCCCGGTTTCCTCCCCTGTGCGTCCCCCCTCCATGCTCCAGGGATGGACACACCCTGTTCAACTGCACGTGTGTCCCGGGGCCTTTGGTTGGAGGGAGTGGGCACCACAGGTGCTGTCCCTGCAGCTCAGTCCCCTGGACCCACAGCAGCGGGCACCTGGGGGCCCACGGCCACTGTCTGGGACACGCTGAACCCAAACACCTGTGTGCCCCCCCCACTGCGGGGGGGGTGTCCTCCTCCTTCCTGTCCCCGACCTCCACTTCCCTGCTGAGACCTGGTGGGCGGCGTGAGGGACTCTTTACTGGATGCAGGAGGAGCCCTTCCTGGGGGACGACCTGGGTCTGTCTCGGGCCTCAGAGAAGCAGGGAGGGAGGCAGGGGGGCAGGTGCTGGTGAGGAGCTGAGAGAGCTCTCAGGTGGGCCTGGAGCCTCTGCCCCTGACCCCACAGGAAACAAGCACAGATCAAACCAGAGGCTCACCTGCAACCTTCAGCTCCACCTGGGCTTTTGCATAGAAGTCTCCATGTTGGAAATAACACAGGTAGGTTCCTCTGTCAGAGACTCTGACATCTCGAATCTGCAGAGCAGCCTTCCCCGCAGTGATGTCCTGTCTTAACATCAAAGTTCTCCCTCGATACTCTGCTGCCGGCGTGTCCTCCTGCCCGTGTGCGTACGTGTGCACTACCTGCCTGGGGCTGGATCGCACCCACATCAGCTGCATGTACTCAGCGCTCATCTTCGGGGACAGGTGACAGGGCAGCTCAGTGTCTTCACCCACCATGGCCAGGATGGGCTTGGGGGGTCCAACCACAGCAAACTGAGCTGGTCATCAGAAGGGGGGGCTCCGTCAGAGGGAGCTGGGACCAGAGGACCAGGGGGTGCCCCAGCAGGGAGGGTGAGATGAAAGACACCTAGACAGAAATTCCGTCCTCACACAGGTGCGTCTGGACGGGCCTTGCAGGGGTGGGGGGAGTCCAGGGTTCTGACTGGGCCCCAAGGGAAAGGCTGCAGATGCACGAACGCAGAGCAGGTCCTACCTGAGCAGGGGCTGAGCAGCTGGACCACGGCGAGGCAGACAGGGAGGGCAGGCAGACGGGGGACCAGGAGCCTCACCATCGTTCCCTGCTGGGCAGAGAGAGACGCCAGGAGGGGCTGGGTGGCAGTGACGACCTGGGAGAAGGTGGGGAATTCCACATGGAGATGCGGCCTCCCCAAGGCTGTCCCGGGGCACAACCAGGATCCCTGCTGACGGGAGAGCCTCCTCTGAAAATGTCTCCTGGGGAGTCTCCTAACCTTGGATCCCAACACGGAAATCACCCAGGAAACATGGAACAGTAGTGCACGTACCTTAACCCTCTCCAGCAGGGAGTGCGGGGCCCTCCTGTGCGAATGTGCTCAGAAGTCCCTCCACTCACCTACACGTTCCTGCCACAGACAGTTGTGGGCACCCTCAGCATCACCCTCTGAGGAAGGCAGGCCCTCTGCTCCTAGTTCCCCACTCCCACTGCTGCCCCCTGCAGGCCGTGCTCCGCACAGCAGCCAGGACATCCTGACCCCTCACCTCCCTCCTGCTCAGCCCCTCCCAGGGGCCCCCATTCCACCCAGAGCAGAAGCTGAAGTCCTTTGCACCCTGTACTTTGAAAATTATCGGAATGTTTTAAAGTTTAAGGGTTTTCAGAGTGGGCAATATATTGCCACATATTTTGAAGGATATTTCTTGTTCTCTATTCCTGATTGTAGAGTAGTGTGAAATAAGGTCGGTTCACCTGGCATGCCTCCTCACACAAGCACGTCCGCATTCCAACTAAACTCCCGAACCACCATCACTCAGGCCCATCAGAAATCCAGTTGAACGGAAGTCCTACCACTACGGAATTAAGGACAGAACCACATTGAAATTGGGGGGCACTGTGGGGCCACAGATCAGGCTGGCCCCCACACCCATGGGTGGTGGTTAAAATATGGGGAGATATCTCAGGAGTAAGGGCTCCCAGCCCCACATCAGACTCCCTGCCCAAGGTTCTGGTGCCAGGAAGATAAGTCCCCAGAACTTCCACTGTGCAAACCGGTGGGGGTTGGGCAGTGAAAGAGACTGCAGGAGTCCCAGGTGGTTCTTTGAAAGGGCCCACACTCTTGCCAGACTCCCTCCCGCTGCCCTCCCACACCAGGCAGCAGACTGAAGGGCACCAGTGGCATGTGGGGAGGAGCTGACGTGTCTGGCGCCAGGGAGGGAGCTGGAGGGCAGTTTCTCGAAGGGAGAACATTCAGGCTGAGGCAATCGATCCTTTCTGCAGCCCTCCCCACAAAGAACCACAGAGCAAAGACACCATGTCTGAGACTCCATCAGCCTGCCCCAGTGTTCGCCCTGCCCTGGTGATTCCCTGAGGCTCAACCCCACCACACTGATGTCCCACCCCCAAGCTGTTACTCCTGGCTTTTCTGTATCAGTAGCTTGTCTTGGTTCATGCTGCAACTCCTCCCAATCCTCTCAAACAAGTAACAGCTGGCCACAGGAGCCCAGCCCCCGTATCTCTTGCTCAGTGGCCCATGCCCAGCATTAGGACCAGCTGGTGTTGGGTCTCATCACAGCCTCACTTGGGCACCTCCAAGTCCAGCACAAGTAGCCATCTTTTGCAGTTCACTTGATAGCTTATTCCGAGTGGCATCAGACAGAACACAGGTGGTGCCTGACCCTGGCCTGCACCACCCAGGACACCAGAGCCAGCCCACCCAGTGGAGAGCCACAGACCATGTTGGAGCATGACCCCCCAACCACCTCTACAAGCCATAGAGGGCGGTTGGTGGCCAGTGGTCACAGCCTATACTTGCAGCTGACTGGCTCAGGTAAATCCTTCCCATTGACCTGCCAACAGCAATTACAACTACACTACAAGAGGAGGCTCAACTACAAGAGGACAGTATACTCACCCCACACTAAGGGTGCAGTTCGAGTACCTAGGTTGGGTGATAGGGGAGGCTGTGCCAATGGACTCTATAGGACACCTACTACGTTAGGCCATAGTGTCAAGACAGGGACACAAAGCAGCTCGACCTAAAACATAGAAACAAGCACAGTGAGGCTGCCAAAATGAGGAGATGAAGAAACATGGCCCAAATGAAGGAACAGAGCAAAATTCCAGAAAACGAACTGAACAAAATGGAGATTAGCAATCTATCAGATGCACAGTTCAAAACACTTGTTATAAGGATGCTCAAGGAACTTAGTGAGGACTGCAGTAGCATAAAAAAGATCTAGTCAGAAGTGAAGGATACACAAATTGAAATAAAGAACAACCTACAGGGAATCAAAAGTAGAGGGCATAAGGCTGAGAATCAAATCAAGGGTTTGGAACATAAGGAAGCAGGAAGCAAAAATCAACCATGCAGAACAACAAGAAGAAAAAAGAATCCAAAAAAAGGAGGATAGTGTAAGAAGCCTCAGGGGCAACTTCAAGTCTTCCAACATTCACAACATAGGGGTGCCAGAAGGAGAAGAGAAAGAGCAAGACATTGGAAAACTTCTCTACTTTGGTGAAGGAAATAGACATACATGTCCAGGAAGCACAGAGAGTCCCAACCGAGAGGGACACAAAGAGGCCCACTCCAAGTCACATCGGAATTAAAATGGCAAAGGCTAAAGATAAAGAGAGAACCTTAAAAGCAGCAAGAGAAAAGCAGTTAGTTACCTACAAGGCAGTTCCCATAAGACTGTCAGCTGATGAGAAGCAAGGACCTACATCCAAGATTACTCTATCCAGCAAAGCTATCATTTAGAATTCAAGGGCAGGTAAAGAACTTCCCAGAGAAGAAAAAGCTAAAAAAATGCATTATCACCAATCCACTAGTATATGAAATGTTAAAGGGACTTATTTAGGAAAAAGAAGATCAAAACTATGAACAGTAAAATGGCAATAAATACATATCTACTATTAACAATTGAATCTGAAAAAGTAAGCAAACAAAGGGAATATCTATTTGATCTCCATAACAGATAGAGATGGAGAACACTTGGATAGTTGCCAGAATGGGGGGCGGGGTTGGGGGAAGAGATGAAAATGTGAGGGGATTGCGAAGTACAAAGTGGAAGTTACAGAATCACCAACGGGATGTTAACTATGGAATAGGAAGTGGGGAAGCTGGAGAACATATATTCCTGAGCCACAGACATGAACAAAGGTGGGGTTGCTGGAGGGAGTCAGGGTGCTGGGTGCAGAGGGGAAAGGGGAAGAACTGGGCCACCTGTAATAGCAAAATCTATAAAATATAATTAAAAATAAATAAATGAAATTTGAAAAGAAAAAGATAAAATGTAAATAATTTGTAATCATAATTATATGCTTTGTTTCATAATGTAAATATATGTAGCTCTATTGTGGACACATGTATATACCAAATGCCTTTAAATTGTTTTTATCCATTGTCCCTCAATTACCACCTGCAGGAATTACTCTTAAAAAATCAGGCACTGACACAAAGATTTATATTTAATGCTGTTCATCATAGTGAAACCTACAATAGCAAAATGCAGATACAATTTAAGTACCATAGTTGGATCCAGTGTTGTTACAATAATGAATAAAACTCTTAATGAACAATTAGACTCCCAAGACTGTGAAGCATACAGCCAACACGATGCTCAGTGGTCAAAAGCCGAAAGCCTTTCCTCTGAGATCGGCAGTAAGGAAAGGATGGCCACATCACCACTTCTGCTCCATACGGTACTGGAAGGCCTAGCCACAGGAGTACACTAGACTAAGAAGTAAAAAGCATACAGATCAGGAAGAACCAATTCTCACCATTTGCAGACGACAGGATACAATATATAGAAAAGCCTGAGGACTCCTCCAGGAAAAGTGTTAGAACTACCAAATGAATTCGGTAATGTGGCAGAATACGAAGCCAGAGACCTGTTGCATTTCTATACAGCAACAACGAATAATCAGAAGGATAACTTTTTGAAATCCCATTTATACAATAACTTCATTAAAAAGCACAAAAACCCAGGAATAAACTGAACCAAGGGGGTGACAGACCTGCACCCCGACAACTGTGAGACAAAGAAGAAAGAGGCTGAAGAGGATACAAATCAATGGGAGGACACACTGGGGTCACGGGTTGGAAGGACTGATATTGATCAAATGTCCTTACTGCCTAAATTACTGTATTGACTCAGTCGTCTGTGTTAAAATACCAACGGTGTTCTTCTCAGAGGTAGACCCACCAATGCTGAAATTAAGTGGAACAACAAAAGACCTGAAACAGACAAAGAAACCTTGAGAAAGAACAAGGTTGGAGGTATCACACTCTCTGATGTCAAACTGTACTACAAAGCTGTGGGGAACCGTTTCGCGTGCCATGGAAATGTAGCTCAGCCCCCTCGTGGAGAACCAGTGGGGTGTGTGTTGTCACACAGGACCACACCCGCAGACAGGTTCTCCCCTGGGGAGTCAGGCCTGCATTGTACCTAGACTGCTATGAGACTTGCTTTTGCAAAAACTCCCTCACCCTGAGTTGAGGCAGCAAGGGCTTACTGCAACTTCCTAAAATCTGAGCTAAACCTCCCAAGGATGGAGTGTGACTGGTTCAACCACTTTCCCCTTGGTCTGCAACATCCTTCTCTTTGAAGTTGTTAGCAGCATTCTTTCCTTTGTTATCTGTAAAGGGCAGTTCCCTGCAGTGAGCCTGTGCATAGTAAGTAACGACTACCCTCCATGTAATGTACCCAGAGAAGCAATGAAAGCCTGTCCAGGCAGGGACTGGGCTCTCTGGCCCTCTCACCCTCTCTCTCTCTCGAGAGTGGCCATGCCATCCCTTTTCTCCACAGGACTTCTGTTGTCCGTGTGTATTTGTTCTCTAGCAGGCACAGCATAGACGGATCCTGCAGGCCAGGATCCACCACACAAAGCTACACCGATAAAAACAGCATGGCATTGGTGTGAAAAATAACACAGAGTTCAGTGGGGCAGAAGAGAGAGTGCATAAATGAACGCTCACTTATATGGTTGATTCTTCCATGACAAAGGCGGCAAGAACATACAACGGTGTTGGGCAAAGGGGACAGACACACGTAAAAGAATGTAAGTGGATTGCTTTCTTCATTTTCTCATACCATATACAAGCACAAACAGAAAATGGACTAAAGATTTAAATATAAAACCTGAAACCATTAAACTGGAAGAAAACCAAGGCGATGAAATAATGACAACGTTCTTAGTAACGTCTTTTTGGGTACGTCCCCTCCATCCAGGGCGACAAATGAAAAAACAAACATGAATGGGGATGTAAACATACAGGTAAACTAACCTAAAAAGTTTTCACACAGCAAAGGAAACCACTAACAAAACACAAAGACAACCCACTGAATGGAGGAAGATATTTGCTATCATACACCCAATAAGGGTTTCAAATCCAAAATTCATAAAGGACTCATACAATTTAACAGCTGAAAAAAAACCAATCTGATTTAAAAAATGGGCAGACGACCCGAACAGACATTTCTCCCAAGAGAGGTGCCGACGGCCCACAGACACACGGACTGGAACCCCCTCTCTGGTCAGACAGTGTGTTGTTGACCCGTTTATTCCCCAACTGTTGTGTATGTGGTAGCTTTAGATTTTTTAATAGGACAAATAATTCTGTGATGAACATCTTTACATTTAATTATTTTCTTTGAATCCTCAACCGAGGACATTTTCCTCATTGCTTTTAGAGAGAGGAAGGAGATAGAGTTAGAGAAACGTCGACTGGCTGCCTCTCCTAGGCTCCCTAACCCCGAATGGAACTGGGAAGCTAGGATTGTGCCCTGACCGGATATCGAACCCACAACCTTCCCCCGTATGAGATGACGCCCCAACCCACTGAGCAACACCGGCCTGGATTTTACATATAAATCTTAAGACACACCCCTTATAGCCCACCACACCATTCCTTCATCATTGTTTCTATACTTCATGGCCTGCCAGCCATCGGGTTGGTCAAAAAGTTTGCTGGGTTATAACTTATACTAAAGGACACATTCTCATTTTCACCAATAAATTCACTGAACAATGTATTATTCATAACCAAATGAATAAACTTTTTGGCCAACACAACACTATGTGACTGCAGACAAACAGCAGCCAGTTTGCTTGGGAATTCTGGACACTAACTTCACTCACCCCACCCTCAGACATTCAGCTCTGGGAGGTTTGCTGACCCAACCAGTCACCTGAACAGACTGTGTTGCTTGCACCTTGTCCCCTCCATGCAGAACTCTCAACACCCTCCCTTCCGTGTCTTCAGTGTTTCTTTTCCTTCCTTCTCCCTCCTTGTATAAACACTGCCTGTGTCCAGTTGTTCAAATGGCCTTTGAGCTGAGACCCCCTGATCTCCAGCTGCGGGCCCTTGAATGGACCTACTTTCCTCCCACCAGTCCCTGTCTCTCCATTATTGGCTTATGAGCAGCAGGCAGGCGAACCTGGGTTTGGTGTAAATGTGTCTTCTGGAAACTTCTAGAATACCTCCCCAGAGACGAGCAGGAGAGACTGTGAGGGTCCTTGCCCCTCTCTGACCACAGGAAGTTCCCAGGGATGGGCAGGTGTCCAGCTCCCTGGTTCCCGTTGTCTCCCTCCCACAGGTGTCCCAGTGCGGACCTTACCTGCCCTGCTCCACACGCCCCCTGTGCCCTCACCTGCAGGCTCACAGCCCCACACTCCTTCTCTGGGTGAGGGACACCCTGCAGGCTCCCCCAGCTCCTCAGCCTCTCTCCTAAAGGGGCCCTGGGCCCTGGCTTTCACCAGCTCCCCGCAATTACCCTTGGCTCTCCTGCGGAAAACCCCAGAGCAGAGGCGCTCAATAGTTTGCCATCAGGCTCAAGCCTCTGACCTGGAAGACAGTGTGGGGAAGAGGAAAGCACGCTCCCCCCCCCCGAGGAACAGAGCTGAGCCCTTCTCTCAAAGCCCTTTGTTCTGATTGGCTCAGAGCCTGGGTCTCATCAGTTTCTGGGCAGAAACCAGTGGGCAAGGTTGGTGTGAACTGGGACCTCATGTTGGATCGGGCAGTGCAGACCAGCTCCAGCCCTGACTTCCACCCTGTGGTCTCTCTGTGTGCTCACCTGCGTGAATCAGTCCTGGGTGTGGGTGTGTGAGCAGTACCTCACTGTACACACCTGCTTCATGGAACTTGTGTCACAGTGTGTTTAGCAGAGGAACCAGGACAGCGCAGCAGAGGGCAGTGTGTGAGCAGAGGAGGGTGCAGGAATTACAGGGTCACTGTGGTCGTTTGCTAATGTCTTTGACAGCAGAGCCCAGTGCAGGTGTGACAGAGAGAGGGCAGGCTCCCTGCACCTGTTCTGGCCCCTGTGACACTCAGGTCTCAGATCCACTCCCAGGCGGCACCGTGTTCAGGTTCCCACGGGCGGTGCTGTCAGGGGCCGATGGGCAGGTTCCAGGTTTTCCAGGGAAGGGTCATGGGGGCGTTGCTGAGAGGGTCCATCCACCCTCTGCCCCCATCTGAGCTGCACCTGGGTTTCAGGTGTGCTCACTTCTCTCTGCTGCAGGGTCTGTGTCCTCTGAGGTTAGACGGGAGAGGATGTGAGTGCGTCTGTCAGGGGACTTGGGGACCAGCAGGGCCTGCCTGTGGCCTGGGGCCTCCAGAGACACTGTGTTTAGGTCTCAAGGCCGTGAGTTGAGCCCCCAGGGCCTGAGTGTGACTGTGGCTGATGGACTGTGATGCATTCCATCGTGTGAATGTGGGTTCTGGGGTGGAGGTGGCTGCTCCCTTGTGCCACATCTGTTCCCTGCTGCTCCTCAGTGAACAGACCTTGTTTGGGGGAGACAGGTACCATACTGTGCCCTTATTGTTGGGAGAGGCTGAGGGACTGAGTTTGAGCCGATGGTTTGCAGGTGGGTGCTGTGTGTTGTGTTTCTCCAGAGAGATCCATGCTCCTCCCACTTCCTCCTTCCTCTTGGGTGGACACCGTCTCTGGACCTGGAGCTCAGCAGCCATCTCATCGCCAAAAGGCCACCTGGGGATGGACGCCACACACGGAGAGGGCAGAGAATGGAGACAGGTGGAGGCTGGGGCGTGGATGCCTCTCTGAGCTCTCAGACCAGCCCTGGACCGCCGCCCTCTGGGGTCATCTCCCGTGAGAGGAACGTGAACCATGTTGAGTTGAAGCCCCGGGCACCTCTGGTCTCTGTTACCAGCTGCAGAACCCGGTTCTTCCCGCCCCACCCCCTCTGCCAGCAGTTTGCCAGAAAAACTACAAACACAGAGCACAGCTGAGGGAATGTTTCAATGAACACTGAATGTACCTACTGCTCATTTTTTAATATTTTCTTCTTAAAATAATTTCATATGATTTCAAATTAATTCATTGGGGTGATCCTGGCCTCCCGAACCCCAAACCCGATGAAACGTCATCTGCACACACGGCATCATGTGCCCGTCCCCCCAGCAAAGTCTCTTTCTGTCCCCAGGTCCCCTCCTTTTCCCACCTCTGCCCACCCCACACCCCATTCCTCTGCTGTCACCTCAGTGGTTCTGCGTCTACGGGTTAACTGTACGAGGGGGACCACCCCCCAAATACCTGGGAGTATCTTTGGGAGGGCAGGCCTCTTGTAGTCCAGGCTCCCCGGACTACACACGCTTACCTTGTCATGTACAAGGAACATGTTACAGTTCACGCTCACTTTCCCTGGATGCCCCTGTGCCTAGTTACTCACCTGGAGCCTTTTAAACTGAGTTATGGCATCAGCACACCTTCCCCGGGACTTGCACACACCTGTCACGAGGAACTCAGTCCTGAAATGCACGAGGCACCAAAGCTGTGCTTCACATATGGATGCAGGAGTAGTTTTCAGTCGTGTGTTCATAGTGATCAGTGGATGGTTTTTACGTGGGTGTCCCCGGGTTCTAAATGTATGGTCATCCCCAGTCTCAAGGACACTCTGACCCAGGTCCCTGGCCCCGCCTCCAAAGGTCAAGGCCACCTCCAGCAGCTGGTCCCTGACAGCCCGACCCAGGACAAGCACCGACTCAGGCCCCTCCGGCCCCGCCCCGGCACCTGGTGCCGGAGGTTCTGGACTCCCCGCTGAGGCTGCTCGGTGGGAAAGACGGCGCAGCAAGGCAGGGAGGGGGCGGGACACACGTCTCCCCCGCTGACTCGGCCGTCCTGGGCCTGGTCCCCGAGTTATGCCAGGTGTCCCGCACCCCAAGAAACACCTGCCAGCACAGGAGGGGGCCGTGACATTCTGTGCATCGTTTCCACTGTCTGGGACGGGAAGCCTTTGAAACCGAGTGTTCTCCCCAAGGTCTAGACGGGGGGAAGAGGAGGGGTCCCCGGTGCCCAGGGAAGAGCCGGTCAGTAACTCTGGTGACTGCGTGGACTTTAACTAACCGCCCCTCTGACGGGTCTGTGTCACTGCGGGGTGACACCCGGGGTCTGGGGCAGGATAAGGGTCCCGGGTTAACAGACCCCACGCCTGCCCGGAGTCTAGGGAGTTACCTCCTCCTGCGGCGCTGCCCCAACTTTCCCCACCAATCAGCGCACACCCTCCTCACCTGGCCCCGCCCACCGCAGACACAGCCCGGTTCCCAGGTGTCTGCTCCGTCCCAGTGGAGCCGGTTTGCACGGAGCAGATCCCCTCCCTGCCCCCCAGTCTGGGGGTCACTGTTGCTGTGGAATCGGCCGGGACCGTGGGCGCCGGCAGGCAGCTGCGGAAAGGCCCGCGGTGGGCTCAGAGGGTAAATGCAGTGGGAGCCGGGCCCCGCGGCGCAGAGCACTGGGGCTGCACGAGAGCTCTCCCTGCCCGTGGTCGGGCCGGGGCGACAGGCGCGTCCCTCCCAGCCAACCCCACGGGGGACAGGGCGTGACTCTCCAGTCATTGGCCGTCCTGGGAACAGCAGCCGGAAGAGGGAAATGGCCGTCACGTGTGACAAGGTCTTGGGCCCAGGCCCAGGGCCCCGGGACAGCCAATGGCTCTGGCTGTGTCCTTTCACGGGTCGGCCAGCAGATGGCCTCCTTGGGTCCAGCACCTGGACACCCACAGGATGCTCCCTTCCCGGGTCGTGCAGATCCCAGTCCAGCCATCGGGTACATTTCTTCTAGAAGGACCTCCCTAAAGCACAGTCATAACGTTTCCCGCCTGTGCCTGGACCCTCCCTCTGGAGTCCTCCCATTCCCCTGACGCCACCAACGCTGCAGGTAGCTCAGGAGCAAGGGCCCCACCTCCAGTGACTCCACCCCTGGGACCCTGTCCCATGTCACTCCCCTCACCTGACTTGTTCCCCCACGTCTGTCCCTGCAAGAATGACCCCAGATGTCCCCAGCCTGGAGGGGTCTCAGCCCTTCTGACAGCAGCCAGAAGGGCCGCCTGGGTCCCGTCACTGCAGGGAACGCAGCTCTGCCAGCAGCCAGAGTCAGCAACGCAGACTCGTCCCTGGGTCCCCAGAAAGGACCCAGCCTGAGACACCCTGACTTCTGTCTGGTGACAGCCATGCTGGACCCCTGACCTCAAAGTTCTAAGGTCGCAGATGTGTGTTGTGTCAGGTCATGACATGTGTGCTTACTGGTCACAGCTGCATTGCACACCCAACACAACAAGGATTCGGTAACAAGGTGCCAAGGAGCCAAACTGTGACCCTGGTGAGTTAACGGTGGGGGTCAGATCTAGAAAGAGCTCTGTCGAAGAGTGAGGATTATTGACACATTTACTTAACACATGTGACCTGACACCCACATGCAGGGCGAGGAAACACACAGTGAACATCCACAGTGATGATGATGAGGAGGAGGAAGAGCGGCCTTTCCCCAGGACCCACAGGTGACAGGAACCTCGGGAACCTCAGTGGGTGGTCAGCGGTGGGCGCCGTGTCCTGGACGTGGGTCCCACCGTGTGATGGAACTTCCACTGACGTCCGTCTGCCCCTCTCCCCACCGTCCTGCTCACAGAGGACCTTCGGGTGGGAGGTGGGAGGGTGGGTCTGCTCTGTGCCCACAGGTCACAGGCTGGTTGAGAAAGTGGCCACTGGTCCCTTCTGTATGTCCTCAGTCCCTTCCCGCTGAGACGTTTTACTGTTCAGGAGGCCCTCAGCTCCAGGCTGGGCAGCGAGAAGCAGGGATGTTTCTTCAGCCTGAGGGTCCCCATTCCCATCAGCTAGGCCCGTGGACACTGGGGTCTCCAGGGAAGGGTCAGGCCCTGGGTCGGGCAGAAGGGTTCTTCTCACTGGTTTCTGTGCTGGGCAAATGGTCAAGGGAGTGGGCTCAGTCGTCCAAATCCTGAAAACAGGCCTCAGAGGCCCCGAGAAGCGGGTGCGTGGGAAGATGAAGATGTGAGACCCGTCGAGGGCATTGTAGAACGAGACCTCCCCCAGCTCACAGTCAAGGAAAACCCCCACCCTCTCGGGGGGGCTCACACAGGTCAGTGTGGTCTGTGGGTTGGTGAGAGCCAGGTAGTCACCCCAAGGATACCGCTCCATGACCCAGAACCCACTCTCTGGGTTAATTTTACCCCAGTGTTTTCTCTCCATGTTTTCCCTGCACACCCCAACACACCACTGTGCCCTGTTCCCCACCTCCACCTCCCAGAAGTGTCTCCCTGACGTGAAGCTCTCACAGCCCAGCACACAGTGATTCCCCTGAAATCTCTCGGGGTTTTCTGGCAGGTTCTGCCTTCTGTCTGCCTGCTGCAGGCTCCTCTTGTCCCCAGAAACCAGGAGGGTGGGGTGCGCCGTGTCTGGGTCCAGAAACACATCCGCTGCAGGGGGTCAGAGGGTGTGGGGTCAGCCGTGGTGCCTGGACCTCAGAGCCTCAGCCTTCAAGACCAGGCTCTGGGCCGGAGGCCACACTCCAGTGAGTGGGGGCCCCGACCTGCCCTGAAGGGGACCATCAGCAAAGCCAAGGAACCACAGCAGTCGTGCCCTCACTGAGCAGACTCCTGCCGTCCCCCTAGTCCCTTCCTGCAGGACCTGGGTGAGCCTGAGCCTGGTCAGGTCCCCCCTCCCTCTCCCTGCAGCCCCTCCCTCCAGCCCCGCCCCTCCTGCCTCTTCCTCCCACAGAGACCTGTGGACCCCAGGACAGCTGCTGTCCCTGGTCCCTGGGCTCTGGGCAGCAGGTGGGCACACCTTTGAGACAATGACCTCAGGTCACCCTCCCAGAACTGTCCCTGTCAACAGTTGGAGAGGAAAGAGGGAGCAGGGACCCTCGGGGGTTGTCCTGGGGACACAGAGGGACCCACTCACCAGGCTGGAAGAGGGCCATCTTCCATGCTGGAAGGAAGCACAGACAAGGAATGGTCATTCTTTCTGTCCCCCCCCCCACCCACTGTCCTCACTGAGCCTCTTCTCTCTCCTCTCCTCAGTCCCCTCCAACGTCCACTCCCCTCATCTGCAGCTCTGCGGGCCAGGCTGCACCCTCTCCCAGTGCTGGGCTTCCCTCCATCACGCTGGGGCCGTGGGGACACGACCAGGCTGTGCCGGGTGTGGGCGTGGGTGTCAGCAGGCTGAGGGGACAGTGTGTCTGGAAGGTCCTCTCTGAGTGACCAGACAGGACGGGGTGGTGCAGACACAGAGAATGAGCCTCTGAGCCGGACAGGACGGCCTCTCCCCCAGCAGGAAAGGCTGCACCTGCTTCCCCCACAGGAGCCGGGAAACCAGAGAGCCTCAGGCTCACTCACCTGCATAGGCCTGAGGCCACTCCTCACCTGCAATGGAGACAGACAGTCACCTGAACTGTCATTTCTGAGTCAGTTCCTTTCTGTCCCTTGTGCCCCCTGTCGTCTTCCTGTGTGGCCCCCCCACCCTCCCCCACTTCCCCCCTCTGCCTGTTCCCTCCCCGGCGCCCCCTCCTCTTTCCATCAGCTGCAGCTCAGGACCCCCCAGGCGCCCTGCAGGGGTGTCCCAGGGTGACTGCACAGCTGTCCTGTCCATGTCTATCCAGGAGGCACCGCTTATACAGTTTGCTTTCTAAAGTTTGTTTGCCTTCTATCTTCTATAGCCAGAAAATTTAAAAAAAATGGAAAATTGCAGAAAGAAAGAATTCAGAAGTTTTAAATTGCATGCCAATCTGAGTAGTATGATGAGGTCCCCTGCTGTCTGCTGCAACCTGCCCCCCTCAGGAATCCTCCCCGAGTCCAGCACGTCCACCCAGCATCCTGCCTCCCCTGCCGGTCTCTGAGTGTCTCTGTGACACATGGATGGTCCCAGTATCACAGCGCTGCTGTTCAGTCACCCATATTTTACTTAATAACGACTCCAATGTACAAGAACAGTGATGCTGTGATGCAGGTGTGCCAAGGAGAAGCCTTCCTTTACGTGAACAGGAAAAACCTCGTGTGTTCAGTGCTTGGTGCTACCTGTGGTGTTGCACCACATCGCCCTGGGATGAGGGGTGACCACTTTACTCCAGGACCTGGGTGCACCTGGGCATAGGGGTCGCCCTGGGCACACGTGTGTGTACCTGTGTGCTGGAATCCATCCACCTCCATCTGTATGATTTCCTGACCACTTCCAGAAACAACTGGACAACTTAATGGGAAAAAATTCAGGTACTATTTTTTTTAGCAGTGATGATAAGTCTGTGACAACTCACACTGGCCACTCCTGTGTTTTAAGGGACACGTTTCTTACCTTCTGTTTTTCTTCCTGGTTGTCTACAGAGTGTGAGAATCAACCAGGGAGGGAAGGACTCCCACACTGAGTCACCTCCCGCCCACTCTCCTTTTCCGGGGTTGGCGGGGTGTCCCGGCTAGAGCGCCCCCCTGATGGAGAGACAC